ATCCCTAAGTGTGCCGATGTCTGTTGGCATCGGTCGCTGTGATGTTCGGGCAGAAGAAAGCTTTTGAAGCTCCTGAACAAAAAACCAGGAGGGAAAGAACATGCCAGTTGGGCATGTGTCTCTGCCAGGGTCCTACTCGAGAGTAGGACGAGCTCCTGACATGTGGAAACTGCTGCCAATAACCAAGACAGAGAGGGGTGTAGTGGCAGGTAGGTTGGTGCAGTGGCAGAGCCAATCTGATGCTTTGACTGCTGCATCCACACTGTGCTGAGCTCTGCATTGCCTCCCTGCTTGGTGAACAGCAACGACCTCCACGTGGGGAAGTCCTGTAAGGCAAGCCACCCCACCCTGCCAACTGCTACCGTCCCGTTTCTTGGGATTCCAGCATTCTCAGCATCCCAATTTGCTATACAGTTGCTGCTGTTGAAATGTACAGAAAGACTTTGGGAAGCTCTGGGATACCGTTGCTGTAGGAGACTTTGGATGTGCAGTGTGTTACACCTCGACACACTTTCATCCAGCATCCAAAGCAAAACAGCAGTATATTAATTAAAATGCAGCGTTGGACTGTGCTGATAGACTGCTGATAGAGTCTGACATGTTTTTCTCTGTCTCTCTCTCTCTAAAAAAAAAAAGGTTACCTACATCTACAGAATGCTGACCAATGCACTAATGTTAGGCACCTTTGCAGATAAATCAATATGTGTCTGTTGCTGTCAGCCACTGCCTATATCAAATTTCTCAGAGCCGAGTAATTCTCAAAAACATGTGCAATTTCTAGTTTGCTAAAGCTGTGATCCTGTAAGTACGTCCCAATGAAGTGTGTGGTTTTATACCTATTCAAAGCAGGAGATGGAAGCTCATTGTTCTATTAGCTAAATTTCTACCCTACTTTCCCACCAATGATGAGTTTTCCAGAAGGTGGGTTGTTGTTGCCTACTGGGAGGGAGAAAGGGGAAGCAGTGGGGAGGTAGGTGTAGTGCGAACACATCAGTGGAGCCAATCTGGCACTCCTGCCAGTGCATTTGCACTGTGCTAACCTTCCCACTGCCTTGCCCTCTGCCCTCCCAGGGAACAACAGCAATCCACCAGCTAGGCAGCTAGTGTAACAATAATAATATATTTTTATTTATTTATGCCCCACCCTTCCCTGTTCAAGTGACCACACTTAATTCTGTCTCCTTCTGAAACCCATCTGTTTCTGATAATGTCAGATTTTTTGCCAGAACCTTGGTTTTTTGCTTGTTCAGCTTAAATCCCGCCACCCGACCAAACTCATGTATCAGTTCTAAAGCTCTTTTTGTACTAGATTCTGGCTCCTGTAGTGTTAAAACCAGATCATCTGCAAAAGCTTTCAGTTTATATTGTTTCACTCCGACCTGTATTCCTTGCACCAACCGGTCCTCCCTAATCATGTTCAGGAGCACCTCCAGGACTGAAATAAATAAAAGAGGGGATAATGGGCACCCCTGTCATGTCCCTTTTTCAATTTTGAACTCGTCTGTCACCACATTGTTCACTATCAGTTTGGCCTTTTGCTCTGAATAAATTGCTTCTATTCCATTTTCAAACCCCCATCCCACTCCCATCCCTTCCAAGTTTTTCTTCATAAACATCCAAGAAATGTTGTCAAAGGCCCTCTCGCATCAATAAAGATTAACACAGCTCTAGTATTGATATTTGCTTGTAAAAGTTCCAAAATATTTGCAAAAACACTATAAATTGTATGAATGTTAAGAATGTGCATGATTTGGAAATTTTTGCTTCAGCAACTTGATTTGGTGAATTGAAAATTAAGTTATAAGAAAGACGAGATGGAAACTTGAAACAACTTTATTATGTTTATTTTAAGGTATAAGTAATGGAGAAACAGTATTTTGAATCTAGAAACATAATATCTGAAAGATACAGTAAGGTATGAAACAAGGTAACAAATTGCTGATGTTTTTATTGTAAAGAACGCAGGGTTCGGAAGACGTGGGGAAGTCCAGTTGGATTGGTAAAAATAGCTTGGAAAGTTGGTTTTTTCTTATATATTTTTTTTCTTTTTTTGTTCTTTTCTTCTTATTCTGTACACTTCTGACTATGTGAAAGAAAATCTAATAAAAACATTTTAAAAAAAAACGGGCTCAGGGCAGCTAACAAATTTAAAACACTTAATTGTAAAAGCAGCATAAAATACAGTATAAACACATCAATACAGTGGTACCTCGGGATGCAAACGGAATGCAAGACACGTCTGCGTGTGCGTGTTCGCGGGTCGTGTTTCGTCGCTTCCGCGCATGCACGTGATGTCATTTTGAGCATCTGCGCATGCGCGAGTGGCGAAACCCGGAAATAACACGCTCCATTACTTCCAGGTTGCCGCGGAGTGCAACTCGAACGCACTCAACCTGAAGTGCATTCAACTCGAGGTATGACTGTAACAATAAAATTCAAAGTTCAGAATTCAGTTTAGGGGAAATCCATCTAATAAGCATTAGATAATCACCAGGGCTAGCTGGCCGAATTAGTCCTACTTGGGCCAGCGAGAAGGCCAGGGGAGAATTAGCTGTGGGGTCTCAGAGTGGGTAATCTTCATAAAAGGGGAGGGGGTATACTGGACCAAGGCTGTTTAGGGCTTTAAAGGTCAACAGAACTGGTTTGGTTCCAATGCCAAAGCCAATACCACTCACATTCTGTAACCAATAAAGTTGTGGCCTTTTTTAGCCCATTAACCTAAAATACTGGTGCCAAGTATCTTTATTCCAACAAAGGGGGGGGGAAGGTTCGGGGCCTTGCCACGCAAGCCAGGATTCACATGAAGTGAAACCGAATGCTGCAGGAGTCTATCTCCCCACTGCCTTAGTAAGCATGCAAAGCTCAGGACTTTGCTCGGACTTGTTTCAGCTCACTCACACAGTGCTGAACTGTGGTTGAGAATTAGGTGCAAACTGGAACAGTGAGTTTTCTAGCCAAATACAAACTTGGAACTGAGATTCCCTCATTCATCTCCAACACGCTCTCCAGTGATTTCCCCCAGCTTCACAATTGGGCATTATGGAAATGAATTTATTTATTGATATAGTGCGTCTGTGTGGCGACCCAATAACATGCATTCTCTGGGCGGCTCCCCAAAATTAAAGAAATAAAATATAACATTGAAAATGCAACGGAAAGCCATAAAAGCAGCATTAAAATGGTTCTTTCTGGCAGATCTACAGCAAAATAGAAAATGTACAATTGTGAATCCCAGATCTATAAAAAAATACAAGTTGTTATAAAAAGTGAATAAAAAGGTCTTCATAAGGATGAAGCGCTTCCTGTTTCACTTCTTATGCCGTATGTGAACATTCTTAGTTCATTATGTTTCTTTCTAGGTATGTCTTCTGGCTAATAGGCACTAAATTGAGCTCTCATGTGTGTTCAAGCTCCTTCAGTCTTTCAGAAATATTTGCCTCATAGCCAACTGTTCATTACTGAAGCTACTCCATTTGACTGTTTTCCCTGTGACAGGGAGTGAAGGAGGAATATTTTCTTAAGGAGATAGTTCTAATAATGTATGTTAAATAAATATGACTGTGGACAGAGTAAATGGTATTCTCTCTTTTATTCTCTCCCCCTCCTCGTTATTTCCTTGACTAATTACGGCTCTAATGGAGTGTAGGCTCAAAGTGATAATGGGACATATTTAGAGGAGTTCTATAGGAAATGTAATTTTCAGCAATTCTCTCCCTCCCTCCTCCCCTATAGATATCTTGAAAGGCAAATGCCTCTTTGTGTCAAACAGAAATTATCACATGGTACTTCGAGAAAATGATGGTGGTACCTGTTCATATCAGGTGAGGGGAATGCGACTCTGCTAGCCACCAGGCAAGGGCTTTCCCCACCTGCCTTGCCCAACCCTCCAACCTCTGGGAGCTGTTTCCAGAGGAAGAATTGGAGGAGAAATGGGACTCCCTGCTGACCAAGCAAGGACTTGTTCCACCTGCCTTGCCCCACCTTGCCCTACCGTCGCTGAGTGATGTTGCCTTATTCTTTTTCATAAGACTGTAAAATTACATGTCTGTTTGAAGAGGACAGGGACACAGGTGGCGCTGTGGGTTAAACCACAGAGCCTAGGATTTGCCAATCAGAAGGTTGACGGTTCGAATCCCCACGATGGGGTGAGCTCCCATTGCTCGGTCCCAGCTCCTACCAACCTAGCAGTTCAAAAGCACGTCAAAGTGCAAGTAGATAAATAGGTACCGCTCTGGCAGGAAAGTAAACGGCGTTTCCGTGCGCTGCTCTGGTTCGCCAGAAGCGGCTTAGTCATGCTGGCCACATGACCCGGAAGCTGTACGCCGGCTCCCTCAGCCAATAAAGCGAGATGAGCGCTGCAACCCCAGAGTCGGTCACGACTGGACCTAATGGTCGGGGGTCCCTTTACCTTTACCTTTGAAGAGGACTGGTTTGACAAACAGAAACAAAGGGGGTGGGGTTTGCGGAAGGGGATTTTGGGGTTGCCCCCAAGTCACTCATTAATGGAGTTTTAGTGTTCCTTGTCCCTTACTGGATAGGAAATAGTTTAACACAGCTGGCAGCCCAGTGAATCCTTACTGATCTGAACTCCAAGCCAATTTGCCAGAGAGCAAAAGGATTTAGCCAGTAGTGTGACTAGATAAATCTGCTTCTCTTTTTTGAACAGTGGAGTGCTTTTCATGTTTCTTCCCTTTTCTTTTTCTCTTTTCAGTATTGCTGGAAGTGATGCAAATCCGCTTTGGCCATGTGTAGTCATAGTTGTCATAATTCATGTGCGTTACTTTCCCCAGCAAGACATGTCCGCTGTAGAAACCTCTTCCTTCAACCATAAGAAAAGTGTTTGTAACTAGGAAAGTTGTGGATGTGTGGTAGAGCTACCATGGTGATCGCATTACTGCTAAGTTTTGTTTTCCAACCACAATGGATTTTCAGCACATTATGCCGTAATTTAAAAACAACAACACAGAAACCTGAAATCCTTGTGTTACGATCTCTTACAGGCAGTGCTGGAACACCTGTTATTTTCAATGAGAATGGAGATGCACCTGGGCGCTATGATATCTTTCAATATCAGCTAACCAACAGAACCGCAGAATACAAAATCATTGGACACTGGACAAACCAGCTTCATCTAAGTGTAAGTCATTGCACATTGTTATTTTCAATTGTACAGTTTATCTCATTTGGCTACTCTTACTTAAGAGGAGCAAAATAAAACAGAATGCTCCTTGCACTGTTTTCTCAGAGCTTCTAAACAATGTGTTTCTCAAACTTAAAGCCATTGCTGTTAAAGAATACTAAAAGGGTCGCTATCAAAAGAGAAGGCACAGGTGTTGCTTCATACTGTTTGTGATTAATATAAAATAAACATCCAGTTGTTTTGGACAATAGTGTCATCACTAAAATATCAGAGACCTCTTCTGCAAAGGCCCCTCTAGTCCAGCATGTTGTTTCACAGTGGCCAACTAGATGCCTGTGAGAAGCCCATAAGAAGAACCTGAGTGCAACAGCATTCTCCTTATCTGTGATTCCCCAAAACTATTATTCAAAGACCTACTGCCTCCAAGATATGCCTGATAATTCACCATTCTGCTTGGGATTGATGGGAACTGGAGTCAAACAGCATGTTGGGGGCAGGGACTGTTTAATGCTGTACTGGAATACAAAACAAGGTGCTGGATAGCTCCTCACTTTTGTAAAAATTGTTTACTTTTTCGTAATTCTTATGAGCGTTTGATTAATGTTTTATTATTTCATGTCTTCTTTTTAAAACAAAATTTATTCAGAAATAAGAAAAATAAATAAAACGTTTCTTTAAACGCTGTTCCACCATTGCATGATGTATCAATATTCAATTAATACGTGTTGGTTAATTAGGTAAGATCAAATGTTCAGGTACATCTGATCAAGGTGGATTAGTCAGGACGGTGGTTTTGAAACTGTGTTCCAGAGAATGATAGGGTTACCAGAAAAGCTGTCCAAGTTATTCAGTGTAGTGCTGGATATTACATTGTCCACCTTTGCATGCACTAATGGCGAAAAGCTTTCCTGAAAGACAGCTTCCCTACCAATATCAGAAATTGGTACTGGGTGTGTTAACATCTCTTACACATGGGTGAGTGGTGGAACCCAACAAACCTGTCCACTACTTGAATAGAGTTGAATGGTAGCCTAGTGTCCAGTAACAGAGAATTCTTTTATCTCGTGTGATAAAAAACAACAAGTTTAAAAGACAGACTTGGTTTGATAATGAATGTCAGAATAGCAAAAAATGCCTAGTTAGGGAACTTAGAAAATTGAAGTTAAAACAGGATAAGCACAATCTTGCTCTACAAGCTGAGGTAGCCCAATCATGATACAATTATAAATTATTACCTAAAAGCAAGAAACAAATATATTATGAACAACAATGGAAAGCATTGGGAGACGCAGCACTTCAAAAGGACTCACGGAGATTTTGGCATCTGGTTGCCCAAGGTACAAATGGGCTGGGCTACTTGTTTAGAAGCATCTGCCCAAGGAAAGGATTGGGTGACATATTGTACAGGAATATATGGCCCCTGTCCTGACTCACCCCCACAAGTTTACTGTACTCAGTTATTAGAACTGCCAGAATGGCCAGACGTCACGCCCAATCAGATTAAGAGGCTAATCGCAAGACAACTTGCTAATAAAGCTCCAGGAGAAGACATGATCCCAGTGGAGATCTATAAGATAAGACCTGATTTCTGGTCACCCATTTTTGCAAAATTGTTTTCATACATTAACAGCTCAGGTCACATACCTGAAGGGTGGAAGCTGAGTTGAATGGAATGTTTCTCTAGAACAACCCTTCAGATATTGTAGACCCACAACTCCCATCACCACTGACCATTGGCTGTGCTGGCTGTGGATGAAGGCAGTTATAATCCAATAACATATGAAGGGCACTGTGCTGGCTACCCTAAGCTATAATATCACCCCAAACCCTCCCCATTATGGAAAAGTTCTGCAGCAGGTGTTCAGGGGTCCTTTGACAGAGCAAATGAAATGGGAAGGTGTTGTCGTTTGATAAATGCTGGACTAGGAGCTACAGAGAGTGTGGGCTTTGATCCCAGAAGACAGACCCGTGCAAATATATATTTTTAGTGAAATGCCATAGTTATGGTCTAAAACCAAAGCTGAATTTTGAGTTGGCTATTTTCCCCCTCCCCCATTTTTTTTAAAAAAATACTATATAAGTATCAAATAAAGGGGTGCAAACATTTAAATGCTTCATTTATCACTATGTACTTCCTGACAGACCAAACAGGCATTGTATAGCTTTGGTTCGTAGTGTAACAGGCCCATGATAAACAATAACAAAAAGAACAGTGTAAGTATTTACAAATGATTGTTCCTCAGAGACTACTTTGCAGTAATTATCAGTGTGCTACCAACAGTAATGCATATAATAGCTTCCCGTTTCCAGCCGCTACAGTGATAAAACACCTTTACCATATCTGCTCTTTTCTTTCTATTGCTCCCTGGCAAAAGGCCATCTAGCTCTTTCTTGGGTGCAAAGACAAAGCTGTGGTCTTTGGCTCAGAAGCTGGAATCGGTTCCTCTGCTTTTCTGTGTTCTTGAGTCCGCCCCTAAACTATAAATCTCTGCTGAAAAGAAAACAGGAAGAGGAACACAAAAGAAGCAAGAAATCTTTAATATAAAATATGTTGTTGTTTTTTTTAAAAAAAGGAAGAAGAAGCGAGGGACAGTTTTGGGATGCAGTTCCAGTCTGGAAACTTTGTAGTTAGCAGGAACAAATCCTTTGTTTCCAGGCATTTCGCCCCCTGATAAATTCTAGGTTCTGTGTACGGCTACCATTCAGTGCTACTATCCCGTGAATGCATTTTAAATTACTGTTTTCAGGTTTATTTGGATGTAATCATTCCTCCCCCAAAAGATTTACTGAATCAGCTCTGCTGTATTTCCAGTTGTATAGTTGCTTTTCTGCCTATACAGTGGTGCCTCGCAAGACGAAATTAATCCGTTCCGCGAGTCTCTTCGTCTTGCGGATTTTTCATCTTGCGAAGCACGGCTATTAGTGGCTTAGCGGCTTAGCAGCTATTAACGGCTTAGCGGCTTAGCGGCTTTAAGAAAAAGGAAACAAACTCGCAAGAACTCGCAAGACGTTTCGTCTTGCAAAGCAAGCCCATAGGGAAATTTGTCTTGCGGAACGACTCAAAAAACAGAAACCCTTTCGTCTAGCGAGTTTTCGTCTTGTGAGGCATTCGTCTTGCGGGGCACCACTGTAGTCTGTTTAGATGTGATGTGCAGACATGGTGCTCTCTTAATTAAAAAATGTCCGGGTTTATGGGGTATTACTGAAATATATGCCTCTGTCTGCTTTTCCCTCCATACCTTCTTCTCAATTTGTGTATGAGTTATCAATTGCTACAATTTCTGATGATATGATTACTTAGAGGTGTGGGGTTTTTTTTTTAAGGAATGACACATACCCAATACCAATATGGAACATGCATCCCATATTATGTGAACCAGTTGACTTAATGGTAGTCTATTGACTTTTATCCTATGACTTTGGGGAGTGGTGGTTAATCTGTGGCCTCTAGATTCTGTTGACTCCAACTCCCATCAGCCCAAGCTAGCATGGCCGATGGTCAGGGGTGATGGGAGTTGTAGTCCAACAATGTCCTCAGGTCCTCAAGAACTTCTAGAGGGCTACCAGTTCCCCATCCCTGTCTTTGAGGAATTAAGCTAATAACACACATACCTCTGGAAATCCAATCAAGTCTTAAGATGTGAGCTTTGGACATTGCCTTTTTATTATACTTGCACTTATTTCTGTGGTTCATTAAGCTTCATTAAGGTTATTACTCTGCTACAATTTGTGTGTTGTAGATAATTAGGAGATTCACTTTGCTCAGCTCCGAATCGGGGGCATTGCTCAGATTGCGCCTCGACCATTAAGCTCCACTGAGTGGCGTTTGACAAGTCATGGTCATCGTAAAGTTGTAATGATAAAATCAAATAATGCTGTGCAGGCTCCCCCAAGCTCCTTAGAATAGAGGTGGAGAACCCCTGGCCCCCACATGCTAGATTACTGCTCCCATCATCCCTGACCACTGGCCATTCTGACTGGGGCTGATGGGAGTTGGAGTTCCACCAACATCTGGAGAGCCATAGGTTCTCCACCTCTGGAACAAAGAGGGGTTTCCTGTGATAAGGAACCAGTTCACTTTGTTTCTGTTGTTTTTTTATGTTACTTGGCAATTGAAATACAATCTGATGTAGGCTCAGCCACAAATAAGTACCTTGTTCCGTAGGGGCTAACTTTCAAAAAGTGTGCTTAATATTGCAGTCCTTAATTGGTTATCCCTTCAGTGTCTCAGCTGTCCAGTAATCTTCCCAAACAATGGCCCACTCTTGACAACCCCCGAAGAAGCAGATTGCTAACAGCAGTCTGGGGTCAAGAGCATGGGTAGGCAAACTAAGGCCCGGGGGCCGGATCCGGCCCAATCGCCTTCTAAATCTGGCCCTCGGACGGTCCAGGAATCAACGTGTTTTTACATGAGTAGAATGTGCCCTTTTATTTAAAATGCATCTCTGTGTTATTTGAGGGGCATAGGAATTCGTTCATTTCCCCCCTTCAAAATATAGTCCGGCCCCCCACAAAGTCTGAGGGACAGTGGACCGGCCCCCTGCTGAAAATGTTTGCTAACCCCTGGCCAAGAGCAATTGCTCCTTCTAGTAAAATACTCAGGGACTGGGTGTTTTCAGAAGTGGGGATAGCATTGGCCACTGGCATTGCAACCTTATACATGTCTACTCAGAATAGAGATAGATGAATCGGTCAGTTTTTTGTTTTTTCTTGCTTTATCATTTTTTCAATCTCCACAATTCCATACTTGTTCATGGTTTGTTTGTTTTTAAGCCTTCATCCTTCATGTTTGTTTTTAAGTCTTCATTCATGGTTTGTTTGTTTTTAAGTCTTCATCCTCTCCCCCATCCCTAGAGTGCAATTCTACATACGTCTCATTAATTAAATGGGCTTACTCATAAAAATTACAGGAAGCAGCTTTATACTGAGTCAGACCATTGGTGGATCTTGGGGCTACCTTTGAAGGTGACCTGGAAACTAAAACTAATCCAGCTAGA